TTTTTACATCATTTTGTGCATTTTCCATCTCATTTGCAATCCCCTTGGGCTTCCCATCACCAAATCACCCATGTGTCATCATCCAGTGCATTTCCCTCCCCGCACTGTTTTTGATCCCATTCCCCAACCCACCCCCACAAATGTCTCCCAGTCCCCCATTTTTAAGGGCTTGCCCCAAGTTGCACCTCATTTATGTAATGAGACACCTTTAACATCCTTAGTAGCACTTAGAAAGTTCCAAGGTTTTGGGGGCCCATGAGCCAGGAGCTGTGAATGAAGATCAAATATGTATAAAAATATATATATATCTCAGATGGTCAAATACATTTTTTCTATAAATCACTATGAGAATGAATTTGAAACTAAGGTAATGTTATATTATCAGTTATATTTCAGTTAAAAATATAATTACAACTGTTGAGTTGGTACTTTTGTGTGTGGCTTCTTGAGCAAAGATGTTGCATTGTTTTATATTTGTGAATCATTTGATTAATAATGAATGTGATTGATTTTTCCTGTTTGTTTACTTACATTTTCTCTTTTCATAATCTCCCATTAGGTTCTGTGTCTATATAAAAGCCAACCATGTGAAATTATCATTTTTGTTGGTTAAAATAGTCTACTATTACCAATTTTGTTATGGTTCACTTTAACTAATTTAGGAACTTAATGTTTTTCACTTATTTTTTCCAATTATAAAATCTTTACTTTTTATAACATTTTTGAAAGATGTAAAAATATATAAAATAGGTATATGGATGTGTATGCCACAAAATAATTTCTTACTACTTTGTGTACTTGTCCTTTGTCCTTTTCCCTCCTTTCTTTATTTTTGAATATATTTCCCCCCAAGAAAGTTGCAGAAGTTTCTTGATAGTGTTACACATTGTTCAAAGGGAATCAATATTGCAAATTCCTAAGTTGTTTTCATTTGTTTTTCAGACACTCAGGCAAGTTTCCTGCTCACATTTTCAGAAACTCGGGCAAGTTTCCTGTGCCCAGGGGACATATTCAGTCAGCAGCCGGCCCACACCTGGAGTAATCCCAGGCCCACTAGCATCCACAAGCAAGGGGCCAGAGTCCCCAGTGCTGTCATTCACCCTCACACACTGGCAGCATGTTCAGCCTGTAAATGGTCTTGCCAGAAGTTGGGGAGACAGAGCTGGGAGAACTCTCTGCCTGTCTTCTTACTTGACTCCAATAATCAACTCTCCTGACTATGGCCAGTGGCCTTGGTGGATCTCTTGGTGGAAACACACCAAGCAAGGAACCCTTTGAGGTCCATAGCCATAGAACAACACTGAGGCATGAACAAATATGTAAAGTGATCAGTAAGTAATAATAAGTTTTTATAACACATTGGTATTTTGTCAACTACACTTCCTTGCCATTCTTTGAAACTATGACCTTCAAAATAATTTAATATGTTGTCATAGATTTAAATACATGGTGTTTAGCAAACTTCTTTTCAGTCCTTCTATGTGTCAGACTCTGATGAACTTATAGCTTTGTCTAAAACGTTATTTGGTTAAGTGTTAGGAATTTCACGGAATTCCATAATGTGACATAACTAAGTCAGGTGATAAAAAGTATTCTAAAGTTTGTTAATAGAGTAACCTCCAGAAACATTTTTATTTGTCACTTTCTCCAGAAATGTGCAGATTTCCCTTCTAATAGCCTCAGCACTGAAAGTTTTTAATTCTTGGTAATTTGCTAGTCACAAACAGTATCTTTTTGTTTGAGTGGTTTTGGTGGTTAACCATATAATTTTCTTCCATGATTTGTATGTTACATCCTCTCTTATTTTGGGGGGAATTTACATTTTTTCTTATTAGAAACATTTAATGTAGTTATGTTTCTGGGTTTGGGGACTCTTTAGATGTTTCCAGGTTTGGGGGTTCCTTACTATGGGCATGAAAGAATTCAAAGTCATATCTAGGCAAAAGCAAAGCAAAATTTATTTAGAAATAATACGCCCAGGAAGAGGTCTGGGTGGGCAGAATCCAGGAAACGCAGGGGACTCCTGGCTTAAATGGGCGCAGGAGGCTGCTTACTCTATCCCTTTCTGGAGTTTACCGCACAGGCACTCAGTGGGTGTTGGTTTATTGGCCAAGCAGCAGTTTCTAAGTCACACAGCCTTTTGTTGGGCTCCTGTGATGTAGTTTTATCAGCCCCAGCTCCAGGATGGGGCCAGCATCTCTCTCTCCTTCTGGGACACTTCTTGTTCCCCTCAGGCTTTATCTACCTGCCTGTAGTAGGTTGGGGTGAGAGAACTGCTTTTACCCCTTTGGGCATTTCTTGGCTCTTTCTCTGGGGTGTTTTTTTTTTTAAGATTTATTTAATTATTCATACAGAACTGGGGTACAAGCCAGAGGACAGGAGGGCCCCTCTTCCCAGGTTTTATCAGCACTGTCAATTGTTTGCTGGAGTCCTGAGTATGTTCACCTTGAATTTTTTTTTTAGGCATCGCCTTCCCTGCTCTTACTGCCTAACAGTTCAACCTAGTAAAATTATGTCTGTTTATTTTAGTACTTATTTAGTTAGTACTTTAAAGGAAAAGCCATACTTGTATATATAGAGAGAAAAATAAGAATATATGTCAAAATATCATTTTTTAGGCTGTGGCATTTTGGATCCTTTTAGAGATATTGATACTTAATTTCCTTTTTTTCTGATTATTCTGTAGCCATTTTTAATAGAACAAAGACAGTTGGTTCTTGTGAATAGTGACTGGCTCCCTGGCAGTGTGTTTCTAGCCTTACCTGCAAAGGTGGAGCCCATTCCTGCAACCTCACTTGCACCTGAGCGGCCCTGATGTCTTTTCCAGCGTGCTCAGCTCCTGTCTGGGGCTGAGTTGCACTGCCTAGACCAATCAAAACTGTGGAAAGATGTGCGGGGTATTCTAATAAGTATGTCATTGTGTCTTGCTTCTCTTATCTGGCGTGTGCAGCCTGCTATGGGATGGACGAAGAAGAAGAGAACCCCTATGTGTCAAAGCTCAGAGAGGTCTACAGTAGCTGTGACACCACTGGGACCGGCTTTCTGGATCGGGAGGAGCTGATCCAACTGTGCCTTAAGCTGCATCTGGAAAAGCAGCTGCCCCTCCTTCTGCAAACACTTCTTGGAAATGACCACCTTGCCAGGGTGAGTATCTGACTTCTTTTCCTAAAGAATAGCAGAACACTGAAGCTGGCCATGGGCATTTGAAATATATATAATATAATATATATAATATATAATATAACTTGTCAAAGGACAGTTATCAGGAGATTGATGCAGGTTTCTTTCTGCTGTGCTCCAACATGATCAAGTTTCCATAGATTACCTTCTTTCATGTGGTAACTTTCAGAGGATTTCTTTTCTTTTTCCAGATAGGTGAGTGGTTTGCTTGGCTGTGGGAGATAGAAGGAGTATTGCTATTGGTGGGCAGCATGAGTCACAAAAATGCAGGCCTGGATGTAGGGCATCTCACAGCACTGGTGAGCCATTCAGAGACAGACAGCTTCAAGGTGCCTGAAGAACAAAGTGTCTCACAACACCGTACAACTTGCAATTGGCCTAGCACAGAACAAAACAGTTTCACACTACTGTTTCGGAACACAGGATACCTGTCCTCAGAGATGTCCTGATACTTCATCTGGACCAGATAGAAAATACGAACTCGGTTCTTTTTTCTAGGAAAGTCAAGGTCATCTGGAACAGTCTAGAAACAGTCTTCCCTAACAGAAACACTAAAATCACCTTCTGTCTACTTAAGTGTACCGGATATTAGCTATGAGTGCTACAAACAGTGCCTGTCATTTCACTGATATCTTAACTTTGAAGGCAGGACATGTTTTTCCGCAGCACTCAATAAAACTATTTTCATTATGAATAAGAAAAAACCCTAGCCTGTAAATTGACTTGCAGAATAAAAGGAAAGACCCTACCTGCTGGCCCAGGAGAGGAGCAGGTGATGTAGCCTTCTGTTCCCTACAGCATTAGGGCCTTCTGTGGCTCAAGCCCATTAACATTACTCAGGAGCCCTCCACTAAGCTTTGTTGATAGGGTCTTAGAAACCATGACTAACAAGAGCAGGTTATGGTTTCTTACAGTGTTGATAAGAACTTTTTTCTTATCAGTGATGTATTGCAACTGTGTTGGATGAAATGACAGCTTTTGAGGACCTGCTATGCTATTACCCCCTTGTAAGAACTCTTCTTCACTGGCCAGCACCCCTCTGATATCACTGGGGATTGTATTGGGAACCTAATGAGCCAAAGGCATGTTTGTGAAAGGCAAGATTTTGGTTATTCAGATTCAATAGTTGAGACAAGTGATGTGGTTTTCTTGATTATTTTTGACAGTTTGGATAATTCAAAACCAAAAGAATATCTTTTCATACCCAGATTCATATTGAAGGCTTCACTGCTCAAACAAAACACACTATTCCCAAGCCTTTTCTCATTTTATTCTTAGTATGGACAGAAATAGTGTAAGATTTAGAAAGAGCAAACTATGGAAGGAAAAAAAAAGTCAGTATTGGCAAGTCAGCAAAGAAATAATCAGCCTGGGCTGTTTGAAGTTTCTTTTTTTCTTTTTTGAAGTTTCTAATTTCCCCCATGTGACAAGTGGGCTAGAAGTTTCTGTGGCACGAATGCATTAATGTTAGAGAGAGACAAACATCTACCTACAAGCCATGGTAGGAATCTGGCCTTTACTGATTAGCACTGACTTTTGCTAGACCCATGTGTGTGTGTGTGTGTGTGTGTGTGTGTGTGCGTGTGCACATGCGTGTATACACATATGTACCCATACATCCATCTGTCCTTCTGTCTGCCCCAACTTCATTTTTTCTTATTGCCATGATTTTCTGTTCCCCCCAAAGCAAGATAGATGTTGGATGAATGAAATACCTGCTTCCATATTAGTCCTCAAATATCATCTGCAGTTGTTCTTCTTTCTCTTTAGCATTTCAGGAGCTACACCCTAACCCGCTGTGTCACTAGGGTGCCCTGCACTTGTCTTCCCCATCCCATCACTGCACAGTGATGATCCCCCGTGATGAATGGCCCTGCGCAGTGCAGTATTTCTCTTCAGAGTTTTCACAGTTCTCCTGTTTTGGCCCACAAACAGGGCAAAGTTCACTAGGCCACATTTAGTGGGCACATTATGTACAGGTCTTAGGGGAAGCCAGAGACGAGCCAGAAATTGTCCCCATTTTCTACACCAGAAACAAGATGATGAATTACAGAAAATTACAAAGAAAACCAAGACAAGTCCTTTACTCAGGAGAAAAGATTGGCTTTTCTGTTTGAATAGCATGTATCCAGTTTCCTTATAGTGACTACTATATATGACACCATATTAATTTTAGTCATTACATAGCAATCTGATTCTAGAAATGAAGACACAATTATAATATATGAAGTAAAAATAAATTTTGTAATGTCTATGAGGGTGGACTTGTTTTTAATTCCTATTTCCTTTAGACAAATCAGAAAGTTAATGTGGACTAAAGTTCCTGTTAGTTGTAAGGAATCTCCATGTCCATTTTATACCTTCTCATTTCTTTACCAATGGTAAGAACCTTATCTTTGAAATGGGGTAACCCTGGGGTCCTCACCCAGGCAATTCAGAATGTAAGATGTGATCCAAAAGCAGAAATGCATGTTATTTACATGGGGAGTGAGGAAAAGGGAGAACAGTCAAAGAGAGTAAGAAAATAAAATTTATTGGCTGGCATGTGGCCAGATACCATCCATTTGTCCTAGCCCAGATAGCATTGGCTCAGCTGTGGCCAGCGCCCCAGCAGGAGGCGGAGATGAGTGAAAATGGGAACAGGCTGAAGGAGCTGCAGGGAGGAGCCAGCACAAAGAACCCAGAGGTTGGGCTGTTCTGTCTCTTAAAGTTACCAGTAAACAGTAAACCCTTACTCCCACCCCTACTCAAGAAATCAGGGGGGAGAGCTGCAAGACTCACTGCTTTCATGATTATATCTTATTTATTTAAGGAAAAAAAACTGAAAATAAATTTAACTTTAAAAGTGATTTCTTGTTCGCATGTCTAGCACCTTTATTTTGACTTCATAGCTCAACATTGGAAATAATGGTTTTATCAGGACAAGTTCCTGAATGCTGTGGACTTGCTCTTCCCTTGAAGAGCCATGAAGGAGGAAGACAAAACAAAACACACAAGCACATGCAAATGGTGCCAGATGTGGCCCTCAGATCCCACTTCTGTTTGTGAGGTCAGCAGATCAGTATTTCAGAGACACAAAAGCAATCTGAGATTAGATCAAGCAAAATTGCTATTTTATTGTGTTCATGTGTTTAACAAGTGTTTTGAGCAACTTACTTACATGTTAGTTAACATCCAGAAGGTAGGGATGCAGAGATGGAAGAAACATAATTTCTGTCTCTGTGTCAAATGAAATATGTGCAAGTGTAGTTATTCTAACATTGATTCAAACAGCAAATGATTGGAAATAGCCTTTTCAATATGAGATTGGCTAAGTGAATTCTTGTAGATTCATATTATGAACTTTTATGCAATCTTCAAAAGAATCAGGAGACCTCCCACATTCTAGTAGCAGAAGTTAGTAAGCCCAGTCAAACATGACCAGGGCACAAATCAATAAAAAACAAACGTCTTGAAAGCAAAGGGCAAACCAGTCAGCAAGAAATTATTTTAGGCTAAAAATTTGTGATAAATCACATAGAGGTGCAGTTAAGCATGAAACATACTGTTATCCCTGAAAATGGTTTTTGGCCTGAAGTTAGCAACTATAAAATTGATTTGTGGTCTTGGCAACCTTAGAGGGCCAGAGAAATACGTCTCAAAATCCAAGTTCACCCAATGTACAAGTCTGATAAGGCAGCCCCAAATTTAAGGGTAGCTTTACCACTGATAAGGGAAAGATGTACTGCAAAGAAACCTGTATGATGCTTTTGCTCTCTGGTTTTGCTTCCCTCAGCAATTTAGATAACCTCAGGTTTCATGCTGTGTGGGTGGTAACCTCAGACATCTGGCACAGGCAAGCAAAAGTCTTCTTAAGGCAAATACCATTGTCCCCAGCCTGAAATTATTCCTAAATAATGGTTATATATAGCAACCAACATACAGTAAAGATAATTAGGCACTCAAACAAAATGTGTTAAGCAAGGTCTAGGAGAAAAAACAGGCAATAGAAGCAGACCCTCAAAGGTATGAGGTATTAGAACTATTGGTCACAAAATATAAAACAATTATGGCTATTATGTTAGGAGGGAGTTAATAAAAACAAACTTGAAAATATGTACAAAGAAAGATGGAATCTAAAAAGTGATATAACAAATCCGAACACAAAACCAAGGAAAAATTTACATTTGAAAAGTGTGATGACCAAAATTCAAAACAAATTAACAGCAGATCAAACACAATGGAAAAGAGCATTCATTAGCTGGAATCATCCAAAATGCAGCATGAAGACAGAAGATGGAGTGAGCAGGCTCAATATCCCTTTAGTGGAACTCTCAGGAGGAAAGGGAGTAAATGGGGAGAGGCATTATGTGAATCGATAATGGCTAAAAATGTCTCAGAGCAGATTTGGGATTCCAAAAACCCAGGGAATTCCAAGTAGCAAAAAAAAAAAAAAAAACTTTAGACATGGCCATATTATTGTGAAATTGAAGGGAAACGAAACAAAGACAGAATGAACATCTTAAAGGCAGCCAGAGGTGGTACACAGGATCCCTCTGTATTTTTTTTTTTAACAACTGCTTCTGAATCTGTAAGTCTATCAAAAAGAAAAATTTACTACTTCTTGAAAAGCAACCAGAGAACAAGAGTGGATCAACATCAGAAAATCAACTAATGTAATCCATCACATCAACCGAGAGAAAAATAAAAACCACATAGTCAGATCAATAGATGCAGAGAAGTCATTCGACAAAGTTAAACACCATTTATGTTTAAGGCCCTCGAAATCCTCGGAATAGAAGGAACATTCCTCAACATGATCAAAACCATATATATGACAAACCCACAGCCAATATCATCCTCAATGGAGAAAGGCTGAAAGCCTTTCCTTTGAGATCAGGAACAAGGCAATGGTGTCCACTCTCGCCACTGCTCTTCAATATAACACTGGAAGTTCTAGCCAGAGCAATAAGACAGGAAAAAGA